TGGCGCTGCGATAATCCATAGTGTTTACACTGCCTCTGGCAGTCAGTAGGAATGAAACAGAACGACAGACAACAGATTATTGTCCGTTCAACTCGTACACTGGTCCTCATCTAGTCTTTTTTTTAACGAAGACAGAATAAGTTTATGCCAAGCTTATCATAGTTGTTCCCTTTTCTTATTAATATTAAACGTTGCCATGCAAAAAAATATATAAATTTATATATATATATATTTTTTTTTAAAGGTTTTCACTATAAATCTGCAATGTGTCATGTACTTAGTAATGTAATATTTATCTCTATTAATATCATGTTTTATTTGTGGTGACAAACTTCTAAACTATACACAATTTCATTGTAGTACTATAAGTTTTATTTTAGTGACTTAATTTTGTAAAAATTAAAAATAACAGTATCTGATTCTGAAGTCGAACTAGCACTGGCTTAATCACCATGGTAATGGCGAAAAATAATAATACTTTGCAGAAGAGACGGTGTGAAAATGCAGTTGGCCTCAGAGACAAACTATAATTGGTGTCCATGTCCAAAAGATGACAAAAATCCTTAGTGAGGGTGACAGTCCTCGGTGTGCAGCTGCAGTTGCTAATATAGTGATGAACAGAACGAGAAAAAAAAAGTCTAAATGCCTTTTAATAAAAATATCCATTAATAATTACAGTATGATAGTAGACTTGATAGTGAAGAAATTATAGTGATCATAAATAAGAAATATAATTCCTGTTCAAATGCTACACAGTGTAAGTATTCAACTGTACATATTGTAAAACAATACAAAATGGATATAATGTCTTTATATCCCTGAGGAACAGAAAGCGCATATTTATGTGCTCCCTTTAGCGTTTGAGCTAACCTTACAAAATGCTGCTTCCAGCAACAAAACCATCATGTTCTAGCTAACATCAGCAAAATTTCAGATGTAACAATTTTAATTCAATTCCTTTGTTATTTGTACAGACCAAAAAGCGTAGCCACTGTGACAGTATTAAACAACCATTTCTCATTCTTTTCATGCTGTTCTAGCCACCATAGTTCTAGCTTTAGGTACCTTATTGATGTAACAAGGAAATATAATTCACTAGGTCTGCCCATACTGCGCATGACTTTCTCTAATGTCTCTTTGTGTTTTCCTTCTGTTATTTGCTTATTATGGATTTAACTGGAAATTCATTTGAATCTGGGCTCAGATAGACCTCTGCTTGATTTGGATGAGAATCTATCTCATATCAAAAAAGCATCGTGCAAAAAAGACTTAAGTTTTTCTTTGTCATAGGCGCTCGGCACTGTGAGTGACTCCTTAAAATACTGAATCTCCACCTTGCCGGACTGCTTGGCGAGCGCAACACCAGAAAATGTGTTCTGTTTGGCTGGCTCACCAAACACTGCCATGGCTGTCACCCTGTGAAAAATAATTAGATAAGAGAAGATTTTAAAAACAGTTAAGCACCTGAAGTACCTGCTCTACCTCTGTAATTACACATGGAGGAATTAACTGACATATTATCTTACTGCATAGCACTAACTAAACTTTTTTCTATCAAATAAAAAAAATAAAAATCTAATATTTGATGTCCTGGCTTTTTACCGGTCATTGTGTATATTCTCAGTGACGAATGGCACATAATCCTTCACAGTCAGGTCCCAGATGTGAAGATCAGAGGCAGCATCCAGAACACAGAACACAGCTGACCGAGTCTTAGACCATTGCACAGACAGAATGGAAGCGCCACTGGAACATCCAGACCATTCCATCAACGGATCTTCTCTCAGGACAGAGTGCAATCGGACTGTTCCATCACTGCAGCCAACCTAAAGAGAGAAATTAATATAATATTCATATTCTTTCAGCTAGAACCTGTAAAAACTGGGAGTAAAAACACACTGGCTTCATCACTAATAACAGATCTCCACAAACACAGATATACATAAATACAGATACAGTACAAAGCAATAGAAGCTGCTCTTACCAAGAACAAAGGTTCCCCGGAAGGACTGAAGTCAAGTGCTGTGACCTCCACCGGTCTACAGCTATCAAACTGTGATCTGTAGAACTTTGGAAGAACTTTTAAGCTATGCCTTGTACCATGTCTAACCAGACCCTTCAATAATAAAAGAAAATAAAGAAACATCTTAAGACCAAGATGAAAGTCTATAGGAAACACCACCAACCCAAATATTCAATATCTTCAACAATTTCATGCAACACCCACCATGTTAGTACCAATGAAGTAATGGTTTGAGTCAGACAGGAGGAACTTTAGCTGAAGGCTCACAGGAGGTCCAAATCCCATTATAACATCTTGAGGTGATTTCTCAGTGGTCTGTAGAGAGGAGCTGTGGAGCAGTTTAACTTTACCACCGGGCCTCAGACCTACCAAGGCAGGCACAGCATTATTAAAATGAGAGAGGTCTAATAGATGTGCATAAAAATATGATTTCAGCAAGGATGATTTCAACTCAATTCATATGTATAGCGTTTTTACACACTGTTCAAAGCAGCTTTTTTTAAATTTTTTTTTTCAATTTAGGCTTACCTAGGTCTGTTTGAGAACCAGAATCATTTCCTTTGTGCAGCTCAACCACAACCTGTCAGAGACAAAATATACAACTTTATCAAATTAATCCCTTGTTACAAAAACACAGTGCCAACTGCCAAATGAAAGAGGGTTTAAAGTATAAAGTTACTGGTGAAATGCAGACATACCCAGAGAGTTAACACTCCATTTTCATCCAGAGATCCTAACTGGAATGACAGTCCCAGAGACTCTAGATTTTGCACAAGGAAACAAGGAATTTCTTTTAGTGATTTTCAAAATATACACTACTGTTCAAAGATTTTGGTGGGTAGTGGGTACAATTTTTTAAGTCTCTTATGCGCAACAAGATTGCATTTATTTTAAAATGTTTTAAAATGTAATTTATTCCTGTGATGGCAGTGTTGACTTCTCAGCTGCCATTACTCCAGTGTCACATGACCCTTCAGAAATCAATCTTATATGCTGATCTGTTGCTTGAGAATAATTTCTTCTTATCAGTGTTAAAAACAGCATGTGCTGCTTTCTTTAATGAATGAAACTTCAAAAGAATGGCAAATCTTTTATAAAACTATAAATGTCTTAACACTTTTAATCAAATTAATGCATTCTTGCTGAATAAATCTTTCAAAAAATGTTTTACTGACCCCAAGTTTTGAACTGTAGTGTATTTAATTTATTTTAAAAAATTATGTTAAACACATTACCATCTATGTCTGCAGTTAGTGTGCTCTTTGAACTTGTATCAGCAGTCGCCAGTACAGGTTCAATGGACACGACGGGAGAGAGATGACCCACCACTGAAAGCACAGCATCTGCAAGCACACAAAACACAGGTCAATTTAGTTTTAACCTGTGACCTGACTCCTAATACCTATATCTAAATCCAAGTAAGATAAACAGTTTTGCAAACGCTTGTGTTTTATCTATTATTTATTTTGATGGCACAGCAGCTGAAGCAGTGAGCATTGACTGACCTGTTGAGAAGGTCGGATAGCGTAGTGTCCACACCTCCTTGCCAACCACCAAGTTCAAGTGAGTGCCAGAATGTTCTCTGAGGTCCCATACCACCACTGAGCCTATTTCTGTACCAGCAAACACTAGTGTAACTTTACCAGGACTGAAACAACAACACCTTACCTGAGAGGGGTAAACAAATAGGAGAAAAAGATATAGATTTTTCGTGACTGTTATGGGAGAGCAGTTAATTTCAGAAACATCAACAATAAATTTTCATGATGCCAGTATGTTCTCCATACCTCAGATTCATAAAGAAGAATTTTTTGGGGTCTGGATGGCTCCCAGATGTTCCAAACACAGATGATTGTCTCACCGTCAAGACGTACAGCACTGCTTTTGGAGGAAGGAGGATGAACAGACAGAAGAGTCTGTCTCTGGACCTGAGAGAACTGCAGCAGACTCACCTGCCGACCTGCAGGTAGATGCACACATATACATGATTACATACAGGGTCTGTACCAAGTGTGCCATTCACTTCCTGAAAAGTGAAGCCAAAACATTTCGATCTACCCCTCTCCATGTAAATGAATGGGACGTAAATTAAACAAAACAAATAAAATTACATTACACCAAGTAAATTTTGTCCTAAGATGGTACCTGTTGTTTTAGGTAGTTCTTATCACACTCATGTATGTTTGAGTGTTCGTTTTTCTAACAAGTGTTTCGTTTTAGTTATTTGATGCTATAAAATCGGGGTGTGGCGTCATCAGCGCAAAATGACAGGGGCCATTTCTGGGACATTTTGTCTTAATTTTTCTACAATGGAAGGAAATGCCGAGACACGTCATCGATCTTTTTTATAGTCTATGATCTGTACATGTTCATCACCCTAATAAACAGTTTACAGTTCATATTTATTGACGTTGATCACTAAATGTGATGTTTGAAATTGAATATTGAATAATTGGATCCAAATGAATCCAAATTAACTGGAATTTAAACTGAAAATGAATTAGGTTAATGACTTTGCAGTAATAGAAATCAATGTACATTTACATGAATTCAAAAATCCTAGAACTAACACTGTCAACATTTATTCCATATCAAAATGTATTCTGAAGTACACATCATAATCACTGCTACTTATCGGTAAATGTAATTTTGGAAAACGTTACCATGCAGAAAGGGGAGTTTGGTATTGAGTTGAATGCAGCCATCACTAAAGGACAGTGCGTCAGTTTGAGAGCGAAGTCTTCTGACAGAATTACTCTCTGCCATATTTTCCTCTATCAGAACAGCCATCACCTGACATACAAATAAATAGTACTTTTAACTAAACTAGTACTTTATCAGACATGGGCGACATATGTATATATTGTTTATATATTTCTATGATATAATGATGCAAGAGCAAACTGAAATTTTTGAGTGTTTTTGCACTTTTGTGAAGATTAATTTGAGATATGTGCTGATAATTTAAAGAGTGTATAAGTGTTTCGAAATAAAAATAGACCCATTAACAACATTCTTTACCTGTGCAGCAGAACGTAAAAAAGTAGTCAGCCGTTGAGAATTAGTATTTATTCTTGAAGTGGATTCATCTGCACTATCTTCAGTTGCCTTAGACCCTGGTTACAGTTCAGAGAACAAAACAGAACTATATTTCCATTTGGTATTCGTTACTAATGATATTGAGTCAGCGATGAACACAATACCTCCACATGCTGCATTTGCTTCTGGTGGGTGTTGTGTCCATTTGTCTGTCATGTTTACTTCTTCTGTTTGTATATCTCGATCAGTGTTGTCTTCATTGCACTGCACATAAGCCTGGAGGCACAGTAGTCTCATGAGATTTTGAGCAGGGGTGAAAAAAATAGTTGACAGAAGATGTATAAAAGTGGCTTAATATATCACATTTGGTAGCTATAGAGTCAGATCTGTCCTGTGCTAATTCATTAATTCAATAGTCAGTCTCATGCTGACTATTATGGTCACGATATGGCTAAATACTTCAAATGTCACCATTGTCCTTTTGTAGCATGGAAGCACCTACAACTTCCTAGATTTCTAACCTGTTTTGTATTGGCTGTTCCAAAATTCTTGATGTACATGTCATACTCGTTGACCGGAGGCAGGTCCAGCAGAGAGAAGGTGATGGAGAAGTCTAAATCAATCAGACGCAGAAGTTCTTCACTGCGCTTCCTTCAAATC